TCTGAGCAACAGGGAGCAGGCTGCTGTGTCCCCAGGGGGTTTCTGTGTCGGGGTGATCTAGGGAGGACTGAGACCAGAACCTCGAAGGCAGCAGAGGAGAGAGGGGGCCCTCAGGGGGACCAGGGTCTGACGTGCATTATGTGTCTATTTCAGTACACATTGAACGAAAGGAAGCTGCTGGAATTGAGGACAGAAATCATGGAATTGGTAAGAAATGACACTTTGACTTTTCTTTGTCGTTTTATCCATCTTCATTTCATCCTGTTCATAGTTATTGTCATTCGTAATTATGTATTGTGGAAAGATATGCAGCTTTATGTCATGAGGTTTTTAAAAATTGAGGTAGAATATACATAATATAGGAGCTGGGGATGTGGCTCAAGTGGTGGAGTGCTTGCCTGGCATGCATGAAGCATCCTCAGCACCACATAAAAGTGAAATGAAGATATTGTATCTACCTAGAACTAAAAACTGAATATTTTTTAAAAAAAACAACATACATAATATTAAAAATACCATCTTGAGCCAGGCACAGTGGCACACGCCTGTAATTCCAACAGTTTGGGAGGCTGAGGCAGGAGGATCTTGAGTTCAAAGCCAGTCTCAGCAACAGCAAGGTGCTAATAAGCAACTTAGTGAGGCCGTATCTCTAAATAAAATACAAAATAGGGCTGGGGATGTGGCTCAGTGGTTAAGCACCCTGGATTCCCTCTCTAGTACAAACAAATAAATAAACATTTTTACGATTATGGTTCAGTGGTATTTATTTTGCAAAATTAAAACTGTATCCCTTAACACTAACTCCACACTCCCTCCTCCTGCCGCTGCTGGCAACCCCCAGTCTGTTTCCTTTCTTTAGAGTTTGACTATTCTAGGTAATTTCTTGTAAGCGGAATCATGCGGTGCTGGCCTTTGGTTGCTGGCTTGTTTCACTTTAGCACAGTGTCCCCAGGGTTCGCCCACATTGTTGTACATGACAGAATTTCTTCCTTTTCAGAACTTGATTGTATTCCATTGCATATTTATACCACATTTTACTTATTTACCTGTCGGTGGACACCTGAGTTCCTTCCCTTTTCTGCTATTGTTAATGCTACAACAAACATGGAAAGTAAATATCTCTTGAGCCCATTTTTAGTTCTTTTGGTGTGTACCCAGAAGTTGAGTATTTTACACTTAACAAAATACTGGATCTTAATGAAAGTTTAAATCTGTGATTGACAAATAGTAAGGAAAGGAGACCTTGTCTTATTTTTTAATTTA